TATTTCAACCCAACTTTGGGTCAAATTTGGACTAACCCAACTTTTGGGTTAAAATTTTTATGTTAAAAATGTAACCCCACGGGTGGGTTAGTCCATATTTGGCCCAAAGTTGGGTTGAAACAACCCAGCATTTTTTACAGTGTATAATTAAAACAATGTGTGCCAGAAGGTTTTGTGTATTTAAAGGGACTGTTCATTAAATCAGAGACTTAAATCGCTGAATGTTAGGTTTTTATTTGCTAGAACTAACATGGAACTGTTTTTTAAACATTGTTTTTTATAAGAAATATGTCTTGAGTACCAAACCAGCATATTAGAATGTGTCAGTGAAGACACTATAACCCAGGGGTGCCAGTGTCCTGCAGAGTTTAGCTCCAACTTGCCTCAACACACCTGCCGGGAAGTTTCTAGTATGCCTAGTAAGAGCTTGATTAGCTGGTTCAGGTGTGTCTAATTGGGGTTGTAGCTAAACTCTGCAGGACACCGGCCCTCCAGGACCGAGTTTGGGCACCCCTTCTATAACCAATCGTTTTGGTTACTACTGTAACCTCTGTTCTCTGATGGAGTGACACTAGGGGTTGCAATTGGGAACCTCAAACACCTTCAGAAAACACCGGTGAGAACTTGCCAGGTGGTATTTGCATGCCACTCATCCATCCATACATACGGATATAAAAGATGATGCCGTGCTCCAGTCATTAAGATTTGTGCTGAGGAGCCGAGACCGTGTCCCAGTCATTTTAGTGGGTTGTTCTGTGTTGTGGAAGGAGGGACACCAAGTCTGGTTCCCTCCATCAGGGAACGGAGGTTACAATAGTAACTAAGATGTTCCCTATCTGTCGCTCACTTGACATTGTGTCAACTTAGTGACACTAGGGGTCACTCCCTATACTAAATGACACAACCAGATGAACTGTGTTATGAGGTTTGGTGAAGCAGATGCAGGCAGGCTGCTGTGTGCCCAATATTAGACTACGACATAACCTTCCCAATGCCCAAGTAAGCTGCCATTGTTCCCTGGTACCATAAAGAACCTTTAACATCTGAAAAAAAGAGAAAAAAGCTTCTTTGTGGCGAAAGAAGGTTCTTCAGATTATAAAAAGGGCACCCCTTCTATAACCAATCGTTTTGGTTACTACTGTAACCTCTGTTCTCTGATGGAGTGACACTAGGGGTTGCAATTGGGAACCTCAAACACCTTCAGAAAACACCGGTGAGAACTTGCCAGGTGGTATTTGCATGCCACTCATCCATCCATACATACGGATATAAAAGATGATGCCGTGCTCCAGTCATTAAGATTTGTGCTGAGGAGCCGAGACCGTGTCCCAATCATTTTAGTGGGTTGTTCTGTGTTGTGGAAGGAGGGACACCAAGTCTGGTTCCCTCCATCAGGGAACGGAGGTTACAATAGTAACCAAGATGTTCCCTATCTGTTGCTCACTTGACATTGTGTCAACTTAGTGACACTAGGGGTCCCTCCCTATACTAAATGTCACAAAACCAGCTGAACTGTGTTATGAGGTTTGGTGAAGCAGACGCAGACAGGCTGCTGTGTGCCCAATATTAGACTACGACATAACCTTCCATAAAGAACCTTTAACATCTGAAAAAAAAAAGAACGAAAAAAGCTTCTTTGTGGCGAAAGAAGGTTCTTCAGATTATAAAAAGGTAAGAAAGAGATGGTTCTGTGAAAAACCTTTGACTGAATGGTTCTTTGTGGAACCACAAATGGTTCTTCTATGGTATCGCTGTGAAGAACCTTTGAAGCACTGTTATTTTTAAGAGTGTAATGCCAGTGTAATCTGCTAATGACATGCCCCTCACTTCACTTCACATGCATATTTGCTTAGCCGCCTTAGTTTAAGCGTACCAATGATCTGTGGTTAAGAAAACGGCCAACATTTCAAGCTCATTATGCAATAATGAGGTGGCGGGTAGTGATGCAATGTTCAGACAATGGTGTCGGGCTAATCAATCTGAAGGCATGGCTTCTCCATGAAAAAGACGCACGAGAAGTGATCTACTAAAGCGTGTAACACAATCCTTCTTCACTTATATAGCTTGCAGTTCTGGCAAAGGGGAAGTGACTTTATTAACGTGATCAAACATAAGGTCAACTGTCTCAAGTTTGTGCTTTACTAGAAGTATTTTTCCAATTCCTCGAAAAGCAGGCATTTTAAGAACTGTTAAATCTGTTAAAGTGTCAAATAAGAATGCTATAACAAGTCAAATTGATTCAATTTAAGGTAATTCACTCAACAACAAAAAAAAAGGTATTACGACATGCTAGTTTTGAATTCAAGATGAGAATGTCGATTAGTTTGTCCTTTTATGCTCCATGGGAAAAAACATGTGGTTTTGAAATGACAAGTGTGAGTGAATAATGACAGAATTTTCATTTTTGAGTGAGCTATGCCTCCATTTCCAGACTGCACAAGCATAATAATTTTATGTATAATATTTATTAGTATGGAGCCCTGTACATGTCACGATTGACAATGATTTAACTAAATTAAAACGAGGGGGGGAGGGGGGATTACTACAACGTGGCCACAACTTTTAAACAAATGAATAAGTCTCAGGAATGAATTTACTTCATTTGTAGCAACAACATCTTTTTTTTCTTCCTCATGTTATGTGCAAGGCCCTGTATATTAGTGCAAATTTATCACCATCAACATTCTTTTTTTACCATTTCCATTATAAGAACTCCAATTTCATTTCATGATGTATTGCATTTAGTTTACCTTTGACATTTGTTTAGATACACATTCCCTTCACTTATGCATAAACAAGAAAGTTGCACATTTGTCTCTTCGTTAAGTAATCTAAATGAAAATAAAATTCATGTTTAATGTTTTTAGAAAATGTTACAATATCCAATTTTCAAGGGTTTATACCCAAAACTATGACGGTGGCTATTAATGAGAAGTTTACTTATACTCACCACCCTCTCAGTCTCCAGAGCATATGACATGTCAGAAAAAGGCTCCCGAAACTTGAAGAATGATTTCTTCCACTCATAGTTGAATATATGGAACGTGTTCCCAAATAAAATATTCCTTAAACTCTGTATGAGTGACGAAGCAAAATACAATATGTCAAAATAATAATAAAAAACCATGGGGGGAGGGTATTTTTTATTTGTTTACAATAAAAATCAACACCCGGATCAAGCTAACACCACTGAAATGTAGGTTTGAGTAATGCGTTACTTTACTAGTTACTTGAAAAAAGTAATCTGATTACGTAACTCGCGTTACTTGTAATGCTTTACCACCAACACTGCTTGTGTGTGTGGGAAGTTATACCGTTTTCACTCAATATGTGTCATCAACTGATGTCAGTTCGGTCACAGTTTAGTTTGGGTTCCCCCAATATGATTTTGAATTCCTAAAATATGAAAGACCACATTCCAAAGGATTATAATTCGCAAGGAGGTTTGGTGTGTCTCCAAGCACAGTCTCAAGAGCATGGAGGAGATATAGAATAAAATAGAATAGAATAGAATAGACTTTATTGTCCCATTTCTGGGAAATTTTCCATTGAACATTGTCACATAATTTTATTCGGTAACATTTTAGAATGCTGTTCCATCATTAATGAATAACTACACACACTCTTAAAAATAAAGTTGCTTCAAATGGTTCCATAAAGAATATTTAACATCTGAAACATTTCTGTTTCGAAAAAAGCTTCTTTGTGGCGAAAGAAGGTTCTTCAGATTATAAAAAGGTAAGAAAGAGATGGTTCTTTAAAGAACCTTTGACTGAATGCTTCTTTGTGGAACCACAAATGGTTCTTCTATGGCATCGCTGTGAAGAACCTTTGAAGCACTGTTATTTTTAAGAGTGTAATGCCAGTGTAATCTGCTAATGACATGCCCCTCACTTCACTTCACATGCATATTTGCTTAGCCGCCTTAGTTTAAGCGTACCAATGATCTGTGGTTAAGAAAACGGCCAACATTTCAAGCTCATTATGCAATAATGAGGTGGCGGGTAGTGATGCAATGTTCAGACAATGGTGTCGGGCTAATCAATCTGAAGGCATGGCTTCTCCATGAAAAAGACGCACGAGAAGTGATCTACTAAAGCGTGTAACACAATCCTTCTTCACTTATATAGCTTGCAGTTCTGGCAAAGGGGAAGTGACTTTATTAACGTGATCAAACATAAGGTCAACTGTCTCAAGTTTGTGCTTTACTAGAAGTATTTTTCCAATTCCTCGAAAAGCAGGCATTTTAAGAACTGTTAAATCTGTTAAAGTGTCAAATAAGAATGCTATAACAAGTCAAATTGATTCAATTTAAGGTAATTCACTCAACAACAAAAAAAAAGGTATTACGACATGCTAGTTTTGAATTCAAGATGAGAATGTCGATTAGTTTGTCCTTTTATGCTCCATGGGAAAAAACATGTGGTTTTGAAATGACAAGTGTGAGTGAATAATGACAGAATTTTCATTTTTGAGTGAGCTATGCCTCCATTTCCAGACTGCACAAGCATAATAATTTTATGTATAATATTTATTAGTATGGAGCCCTGTACATGTCACGATTGACAATGATTTAACTAAATTAAAACGAGGGGGGGAGGGGGGATTACTACAACGTGGCCACAACTTTTAAACAAATGAACAAGTCTCAGGAATGAATTTACTTCATTTGTAGCAACAACATCTTTTTTTTCTTCCTCATGTTATGTGCAAGGCCCTGTATATTAGTGCAAATTTATCACCATCAACATTCTTTTTTTACCATTTCCATTATAAGAACTCCAATTTCATTTCATGATGTATTGCATTTAGTTTACCTTTGACATTTGTTTAGATACACATTCCCTTCACTTATGCATAAACAAGAAAGTTGCACATTTGTCTCTTCGTTAAGTAATCTAAATGAAAATAAAATTCATGTTTAATGTTTTTAGAAAATGTTACAATATCCAATTTTCAAGGGTTTATACCCAAAACTATGACGGTGGCTATTAATGAGAAGTTTACTTATACTCACCACCCTCTCAGTCTCCAGAGCATATGACATGTCAGAAAAAGGCTCCCGAAACTTGAAGAATGATTTCTTCCACTCATAGTTGAATATATGGAACGTGTTCCCAAATAAAATATTCCTTAAACTCTGTATGAGTGACGAAGCAAAATACAATATGTCAAAATAATAATAAAAAACCATGGGGGGAGGGTATTTTTTATTTGTTTACAATAAAAATCAACACCCGGATCAAGCTAACACCACTGAAATGTAGGTTTGCAATCTTATTATTTTATCATTATATTTAACTTTTTTTCTCTACGACATTCTGGTGGATTTTTTTCACCCATTTAGTGGAATTAGCAGTAGTTATGACTAGACTAACCAGATCTATTGCTTACAGTTCTAATAAATAAATGATGAGTCAATATCCTGTCTTTTGTCTCCGGGGCACACATATATACACACAGCTCAAGTCTGTTATGAGACACATGGGAGGCATGAGAGCAGAGGGTCAAGTGACAGGGTCATGTTCCACGACTCACCACCGCCAGCTCTGGTGACAGCGGTTGCCCACCCAGACTCGGAGACACTGTGAGGGTTCGAGGAATGGAGTAGGGCGCTGTGAACTGCTCGTTCTGTGCTCCGATGTGATGGGCCGAGGTGGCAGGTCTAGAGGAGTCGTCACTGTCCTCTTCAGATTTGATCTTCTCACTAGGTCGCTATACAAGTGATAAAGTCCAGTTGTTACAGTATACCTTCTACCTTGTCTTGCCATTAAATTACTTTTATTATATAATCACAAAACATATTTTTTTAGGTTGTCTGACAAATCCCAGCAGACACACAACGTCATAAGACGTTGATATTTGGTTACGATTTTCATTTTCAACCAAAATGCAACGTCTGTCTGACGTCATGTCCAACGTCTACCTGACGTTACATAGACGTCCGGTGCCTGCTGGGATCACTGCATATAGGATCTTGGTTTATTTTAATTTTTTATTTATTTGTTTGTTTGTTTGCAAACAACATAATTATTCAAAACTTCTGACCAGGTTAAGAAATGATAATGCTTATAAAAAAAACCTCTCTTATGCTCACCAAGGCTGCATTCATTTGACAACAATATAGTAAAAATATTAATAGCTTTAAAGAATGTTACATTCAAAAGAACTGATTTCTGTTGTAAAATATTTAAAAATCGGTTTAAAAAAATTATAAATTTCTGACACTTTTGATCAATTTTATATTTCCGTGCCGTAAAAAAAAAAGTATTCATTTCATTTTGATCCATCCATCAATCAATCAATAAATCTTACACTAAACTTACCAGTTTCCACAAAAATATTAAGCAGAAAAAAAAAAATGCTTTGCCATCACAGGAATAAATTGCATTTTAAAATATATTAAGACAGAAATCGGTTCTTTTAATTTTTTTTTTAATTTTTACTGTATTTTTGATCAAATAAATGTAGCATAAGTGAGCAAAAGAGACTAGAAAAATAAGAAAAAATAACAATTAAATAAACAAAAAACTTAATTGCTCTTAATTATTCCAAACTCTTGACCGGAAGTGTACAGTATATATAGGTTATATCACAATTTTTGTTTCAATTTATATTTACACATTTGAAGGTGAGGCCTACACAGATGTGGAGTAACAAGGTTTTTCAATAAACTACTTAAAATCTCACTTTTATCCAATGATAATCAACTTTTATTTTTGATGATCAAAGTAGCCCTAGATCTAATATTTTTGTTACATTTTTGAACATAACATATAAATATTACTTATACATTTATATTCTGTCTATTTCTAACCTCTCCTTATAACTCTTCAAACAACAGAAATCCCAAAAGCACTGTTTCTAATCTTATTAAGATGCCAGGTTTGAGATGAATGAGCCATCATCAGTAGATAACTCACATTTTGGTTTCTCTTCACCTCCTCTTGAAGAAGCTCTATGTAGCTCAGCCTGGAGTGCTGCAAACTCTTGATGGTTTGCAGAAGGTCCTGATAAGCCGTCATGATGGCTTTTACATGCACTCTACTACTGCATGTATATTCGCTTTCACACATGACATTGTGTGGATATGCCTAGTAAACTGCCTTAGAGGTAATGTGGTAGCAAACATACACCTCTCCTCCAGTCTGTGATACTGAGTTTGTTGAGAGGATTGCAGCCACGCAGGCACACGCATACTCTCATCTGATTGGCTGACTGCGTGTCATGGGAGAAATGACATACAGCCACCTGAGAGCACAGGGTCTGAAGTATCAATTATCGAAATATCAGACTTAACCACATAAGAATGGCATAAGCACACGGGACGTTATATTTACATTCGCACCATTTAAGAGGTGTTCACACAGATGCGTTATTGCATTAAAAACCAGCTGCAAGCACAATAGAATGCATCAGAACACAAGTTAGGAGACGTGTTTTCAAATATTAAGCAGAAACATTTCACCACAAAATTTAAGTTCCGTCATCATTTACTCACCCTTGAGATAGGATGTCTGCCTATATACACTTTACAAAATATTGACTATAAGCCTCCAAAAGTATTCCAATGTAATATAAATTCATTCACAAAACAGACTTAAGTATCAGCACATCAGAATATAGCACAGAGTTTGTATATTACTTTTATTTAAATTTTTCATTTTGAGTCTTGAGTAACCATTAATTAAAGGGATACTCCACCCCAAAATTAAAATTTTGACATGTCAGATCGATTAAGTGATTAATGACAAAATTTTCATTTGGGGTGGAGTATCCCTTTAACCTTCTGGTATTGTTCAGTAATTTTTGACTGAAAAATTTTACGTTTTGCTTTTTTAGAATTTTTTTTCTACATCGGAATGGTACGAAACGTGGTAAGGGTTCTGGCACTTCGTATGTGAAAAAATAAATAAATAAAAATCATGGACATGATTCGAAAAGGTTAAACGGTCTGGAAAAAAAATAAAACACTTGTCACACTTGAACCGCTTTTCCACCGAAATTACCTGGAACAATTTGTGCCAAGAACTTTTTTTCCCGCAGACCTGATGCTGTCTGCGTTTCCATCGCGGTCTAAAGTACCGTGAAGATTAGGAAAATAGTCTGGTGACGTAGGTCTGTGCGCGTTTCTCAATACCAAGTGCGCAAATTTCAGACTTGCGTCCTCGGTAGTTCAGACTTCGCGAGTTCGACTCGGGAGTGTGAACTCCCGGGGACGGAACAACGCAATTCCCGTAATTCTGCAAATGGAACAGCAGCGTACTTGATAACGTCAATCAGCTCGCCTCGGCTTCTGCAATTTTCCTCACTGTATTTACAATAAGACGAAATCGGCGAAGCACATTTTCAAATAGGCGCTGTCTTTATAAATAAACCGCAGATTTTAGTTTAAAACAACTACATTCTCACCTGAAATACTCTTCAAACTACATTTCATGACACAATAACAGTAATATTTTGACAATTATGCGAATATGGTGGTTGAAATACAATGCTGCGTGAACTCAACCAATCAGCATGTTCAGCGCCCAAGTCCCGCCCCCAAAAGTTCCGGACCTTTAAAAAAGTACTGCGGCCCTGTCCCAAATGGAGCACTTCATTTGCACTTGCAGTTTTACGGACTTACAATGGCCGCCGCGTGCACATGTCCGTTAAGTCCACGAGCGTCCGTTATGTGCCCTCGATCTGCACTTCTGCCGAGCCCGCACTGGTGGGGTTTAGGGTTTAGAGGGTTTAGGGTGCCATTTCCCAAATGGCACCCTAAACCCTCGCGGTCTTCCTCTGAGTCCGCACTTTCGTGACGTAATGCTGCTTTTTACTGTCGGGTAGAAGTCTGCTGTGGAGCTCGCCCCAGTGCGGGCTTGGCAGAAGTGCGGATCGAGGGCACATAACAGCAGCAAAGGGGGCGCTCACGAGCACCCTTCTGAATGCTAAAATGATGAATGGGACACCTTATGGTCTCGTGGACTTAACAGACACACGTACGCGGCAGCCATTGTAAGTCCGTAAGACCGCAAGTACACTTTCTGAGGGGTACATTTTTACTAAACTTTATTTAGATCCTGGTTCCTGCGTGGAAACACACCGAGTACCGGCCCAAAGTCCTTAGTTCCTGGGGAAAGTTCCTGCGGTGGAAAAGGGCTTTTGTACTTGAATTTGAATGGAATGGGAAGTGAATTTCATTTGGTAGAAATGTTTACAGCACTCAAACAAATTTTTGAGATAAGGTCATTTTTTAGATATCAACCTCAAATTTGGAACACAACTTGTTTTTGTATTTATGTCTGATTTTCTCAGTTTTAGAGTAAACCATGTTTTGGGAGAAAAATTGTAAAATAGTATTTTTGTGCATTTTTAATAATAATAAGCCTAAAATTCAACATCGTTTTTTTTTTTTTCATTTCAGCAATAATCTAGCAAGTGTCTTTTTCAAGAGACCATAAAATATCATAGAATACCCCTAAAAATGCAACATATTTAAAAAAAAAAACATTAACAAACTAAAATACATAACTAAAATATAGAACTATAGAAATATAGATTCATGTTTTGAATCATACCCGTTGGGAACGATGTGAAAGGGAATAAATGATGACACTTTTGTCATTTTGAGCTAAACTAGTACATTTTTGCTTTAAAACACAGCGCTTGTGAACGCATCCTGGGTATATGTCTAAATTAGAAATAGAAAACATTTAGCAATCCAAAAATAAATAAATAAAAAAATACTACTAAGACTTACTTTAACATAGCCCTGTGGTAATTCCAACCTGAAAGGTAAAAACAGGTGAGTAAACATGGAGGGTCGTTGGGCAGCAGAAGACAGCAGACAGTGTGCGTGCGAGCGTACGTACCCGTGGGAGTTAAATATCTCTCTCCATTTACCCAGTTCCGCGGTCTGCTGGAGGATTTCATCTATTTCACTGCTCGCCTCCACATCAGTGTCCATCTGCAGGTGACAGCAAACATCACACCAGCGTTTAGTTCGAGTCCCAACTTTCCTGCCTCGTGTTCCGCAGGATTCCAGGTGAAAGAGTCTCACAGCTCCCCCAGGAACACAAAATAAAAGAATATACAAGTGAGGCAAGCGCCTTGTTGCTTAGGCTGCGTGCAGACAGGACGCGTTCAGGCGTACAATTTCTTTGAGCGTTGCGTCTTTTGAACACGAGAGCGCGTCCTGTGTGAGCGCGTTATTATTGTGAACATTAGTGGAACGATACAGTAAGCCTACATTTATGCACTCTTAAAACGGATGTGTTCAAAACAACACAACCTGTGTTATAACTTAACACACGTGTGTCAGTTAACAGCTTGTGGAGTGATGTAGGCAGCAATGTGATTGGATGATAGTCAACCTGAAAGGTAAAAACAGGTGAGTAAACATGGAGGGTCGTTGGGCAGCAGAAGACAGCAGACAGTGTGCGTGCGAGCGTACGTACCCGTGGGAGTTAAATATCTCTCTCCATTTACCCAGTTCCGCGGTCTGCTGGAGGATTTCATCTATTTCACTGCTCGCCTCCACATCAGTGTCCATCTGCAGGTGACAGCAAACATCACACCAGCGTTTAGTTCGAGTCCCAACTTTCCTGCCTCGTGTTCCGCAGGATTCCAGGTGAAAGAGTCTCACAGCTCCCCCAGGAACACAAAATAAAAGAAAATACAAGTGAGGCAAGCGCCTTGTTGCTTAGGCTGCGTGCAGACAGGACGCGTTCAGGCGTACAATTTCTTTGAGCGTTGCGTCTTTTGAACACGAGAGCGCGTCCTGTGTGAGCGCGTTATTATTGTGAACATTAGTGGAACGATACAGTAAGCCTACATTTATGCACTCTTAAAACGGATGTGTTCAAAACAACACAACCCGTGTTATAACTTAACACACGTGTGTCAGTTAACAGCTTGTGGAGTGATGTAGGCATCAATGTGATTGGATGATAGTTAACACATATTGTGTTGGGCACACTGTGTTGTTTCTCTCTCTCTCGCTCTCTCTCTCACTCTCTTTCTTTTTACACATGATCAACTTAAAATTACACAAAATGTGCTAAAATGGCCATAACACAAAAAATGTGTTATTAATGAACACGTCCTTTTTGAGAGTGGAATATAGTAGTAGTTTTAAACATTACTTTGTGAATTAAGCTTAAGTTGTGGAAGGCATATTTAGATGTGTTGCAGTACAGCAGGCAAAAACATAAAAAATAAATAAAAAGCAGAGTTGCAGTGAATATAGTCTACTGATTCACTTACCTCAATTCTCTGTACATTAGTGCAGAAGTTTATGGTTGTTTCAGATTTTCTTGCTATAGCCTATAATGAAGTCTAGGTTATTCAAGTAATAGTACAATAGATAAATCAACAGATTAACATTAGTAATTAACATTGTTATTTAATGTGTGAATCTGCTTGCATGAAAAAGTTCAGTAGTTTTTATACATCAAATATGACCCAAACACTGAAATAAATGAACTTTTCCATGACATTCTAATATATTGAGATGCACCTGTAGTCTCTCACACACGCTATTCTCAATGAGTACAGTATTATAAACAACTGTACTAAGGCAACAAATAATTTGACATAAGAGGATTTTTTATGTATGTATGTGTGTATGTATGTATTTAGTTAGTTAATTGGTTAGTGATTGATTGATGTTGACTACATTATAATGAAGATCAGTGAAATCCAAACTAAAATTGTAGCTTGAAGATGTACAAGCTTCATTTAGTCATATAACATTAATTTGTCAAGCGTTATAAAATGCCATAAGTAATATAAAATTAAGTCAATTACAAAATAATTTAATTATTAGCAATTTAATTTAATAGTTTGGGCTCTGTTGTTAATTGTAACTTTTAAAATTAAAGTAATGTGCAAGTAATCGCATTCCCTATATAGTTACCGGCATTAACAGAACTAGACTTTTTATCCTTAAGAAATGTTAAATTAGAAGCAACTTGCTTCATTTTTTCCCTCCTGCTTTACCGAAAATGTATATATAGAGCAAGTGTATAAAATGTAGAAGTTCACAAAGCTTAGTCTTTACAAAATCATCCACTTGCTCTTTGGTTGCAGCTCCATCTACGATGCATTGTTGACACTGATGCGTCTGCTTGGCAAGGTTTTCAACATAAGCTGCATAACAGATTTCAATAGCAAAAGCAGAAGCAGAAGCAAAAGCACATGCATTTGGAATGCATACCAAATGATGCATATCAAATATGATCAAAATGCAAATGCTGACATATGATGAACACACTTTCTGGTTAACCAGCAATCGAGAAAAATATGACTGTATGCCTCTATTTGGTTCTGTGCGCCGGAAATAAAGTGGTGATGCGTGCAAAGACTGAGCGGTCATGTTTGAGCTTTCTCACGGAATATAACAGCAAACTGAAAAAAAAGGACAATAGTGATACTGATACTGAAAACTTGGAATATTTGTAAAGCAACAGATTATGACGTTATAAGAGTTTGCTTTAAGACTAATTCTGAAATATTCATGACTGAATGTACTCGTCAGCCAATTCAACTGAATTCAACTTTCAAAATAACTTTGAATAGAAAGTTGAGCTGCTAATTCTGTATTGCTTTAATTCAAATATACTTGATTTACCGTTCATTTATTTGTCACAGACTCTGAATCACTTTTAAATTGAGTCAACCTAAATCTGTGTCACACAACCCCAAAAAGAGAAGCCATACCTTATCTCTTCTTCAGAGATGAGTATCAGAATGCGGTTCAGGATAAAGTCCTCTAAACTCTGACAAAAGTTCAAACCTCAGTGTGAACCAGGTCACCAAGACATGGCTTATATACCAGACACTTTCTATTCAGGAGGCAGACAGACACATGGCTGCACAACATGACAGAGAGCCTCCTTTCATTTTACAGTTTCCTGGCAGCAGGTGGAGTATGTTTCTTTTCTGTTGGTCTGAATTCAGTGCTAACAAAGCAGTGCTCTTTCATGATGTCTTGAGTGATGAGAGCTGCTTTTCTCTTCTTTCACAGCATTGTTCCTGGATGCATAAAACCTCCCAAACATATTTATAAATGTACATAAAATGTTCGTAAATGTACAAACTTTATACTATACTGTACTATGTTGTCTGTTGCATTATAAAGAAAGTGAAACTAGAATATCTCATATGATTTAAAGGCACAGAATTCATATTGACCAGAAAAGCTGCAGTCCAATAACAATCACGAAAAACAAAGTGTCAGAATGCATACAGCACATCATTGTGTACTTTTGTATATATATATTTTTTTTTTTGTATTTTTGGCCCCTTTCATTCTTATTACTTTTTACACTCATTTTTAATTATTATTATTAATCCACTTTAATTTAATTCTCAGTTTGAAAATAGCATTCGAGAACATTTCAGTGTTTACATACCAAACACTGATTTATTAAACATCACATTATATTATGAATAAGTGCACATTGGCACAACGCGAGTGTCTAAACACACAGGAGACAAATAAGAAGAATTTATGAAATATGCAAATACAATAAAATTATACAATATCAGTTAAACGTGGAAAAGTTAATGAGAACATTAAATCCATATTGATCATCAAATAAGTGATAAATCAATATGAATTGCTTCATCTGTCTGGTATTCTAAAGCCACGGTTATAGTTGGATGCATATCAATTAGATGCAACATCATTTTATTATATAAATAATTGTTTATGCATTTACATGCATGTATATTTAAATATCTAGGCATATTTAAAAACATAAATTTGAAGTAAACTAAACAAATGAGATTTTTTACAATATTTTATTTAATCTCATTTTAAGTAATGCAACATGTTTTTTTTAATGGTTTTAGCTATTTTTGCTAATACTTTTAATTGGTGAGTTGTAGTGAATTAATAAAGTCAAACAAACTTATTTTGGTGCACTGTTCTGTTAAAAATGTGCCTGTACTATTTTTTAAAACAAATGGTGCTTGGTTTGATTTTGTTATGTAATGCAAAGACATTCATGCATATTTAAGTGTGGCTTAAGTGTCAAAACAGTTTCTGGGGTCACTGCAGAATTGTCAATCGCATCCCTTTCTGATTATAAAAGATCCGCAACCAAAGGAAACTGTCACGTTCCCAGCCAGACTGGAAACTACAGGGTGTTTTCATCAGCCGTTTGAAATCGTGAGCGTTGATTGTCTGAGTGATTGACAGAATGAATGCCTCCCCGCTGCGAGATAAGACACCAAGCATCTGCAAGTTCATCAATGGCTTAAGAGGCTCAGATGTGTTCAGCTGTAAACAAAACGGATGCCGCTCTTCGGAAGACTCCTATTGAGAAGTGCTAGTCGCTGCGGTAGGATGTCGTGTGCAGGGGAGGAAGTAGAACAAAAGAGCTGGTCAGTACATGAGATCCGCCGCTCCTGTGCTCGCATCAGACTCTTTGGCCTCCTGAAAGGGGAACTGGATCCCGGCCAGGCGGATGAGCAAGATGTTGAGGCCGTGCATGAGGAAGGTGAGGAAGACGAGCCAGAAGGATCTGTCGTACCTCTCGTTTTGCGTCTTGTAGACGAAGCTGGCATCGTTGAAGTTGAAGATGATCTCGGTCAGGTGGTGCAGCTTCACCTCCGAGGAGAACAGGATGAGGACCATGCAGGCGCACAAACCTGACAGGAAATAGAATGATAGATAAAAGCATACATAAAATGCATAATAAACAAAAACTCTTCTGAAGGAGATGAAAATGCTGTCATTATTTTCATGTTTTCGACCATGCAGTGAAAGCCAATGGT